TGTTTTAGTTCCACAATGCTTTAGTCACTTAGATTAAATCAAATCAAATGAAGAAGCTGATAAATTCAGGATTTTAATACAGTTTTTATAGCGAAGGTAGTAGCCTCAAACAATATGACCGCTTTGTGTCAAGGTCTGAAACCATGAATCTTCAGCTTTCTGTCTACTTTAATGCAGATCCAAACACTGCCGCATTACGTGTTTGTATGTCTAATTGTCTCAGACATACTATCCCAGTTGCTTTCTCCTATAAATAATATTTTACTGGACAGATAAGCAGATGATAAAGACTTAATAGTATAGAAAAGGAAAGAAGAGATTAATTCAGACCCATTTAAAAAATCAACACAGTCTGAAAGGTTACAAGTTAAACATGTAGGAAACCGGTAAATCTGAAGTGTTTTGGGTTTGTTTGTAAACATACACATTAGTACGGAGGAGGATTAGAGCCACTGAAAAAATAAAAAAAGTTAACTGATATTCTATATTTTATTTCAGTATAATATGAAAAAAAAAGTCAGAATTCTGACTTTAATCTCAGAATTCTAACTGTTTCCTGACAGCTAACACTAGGGATGCACGATATTGGGATTTTGGCCGATATCCGATAAGCCGATATTTTAAAACTCATGTAGAAGATAACCGATATCGATACCGATGTTAAAGCTGGACAAAAATAAGTAGTCATTGAAAATAGCAGTTTTGTTATCCATTTCTGACACTTTGAAAAATAATATACTCAAATATATTTTCATATGCTGATATCAAATTGATTTTTAAAAACGCGGTATCGATCTATTTTACTTTCAAAATCTCGTGAAATTTCATCGTTCTGTTACAAACTCTTGTGATACTTTGCAAATTCTTGTGAGATTTTGTTAGTAAAATAGATCGATAACGCGTCAATATATCAACATATAAAAATATGGCAAAATTTCATGAATTTTCGGGGGATTTCGTAGCATAACGATGACATATAGCAATATTTCATTAGTAAAAGAGATTGATATGGTGTTTTTAAATGGCCATATATCAGCATATGAAGATATTGTGATATTTTAATGTATCAACATTTTTCCCTCGTCTTTAGAAGTTTTTAAGTCTGTAAAAAAAGAAGTTTTTGAGGAAGAAGAAGAAGAAATAGTATTTTTTTTTTAGACTTTAGAAACTCAGAAGCTGATCAAATATCGGGTTAAATATCGGTGGGGTGGCCGATGTCCGATATTCAGTTTTAAGGCCGATACCGATAGGGGGCCGATTATATCGTGCATCCCTAGCTAACACACATGTTAGCATCAAGCTGTAGCCATGTCTGTTTTGGGGATGTTCTCTCTTGTTTTAATCCACTTCTTCCATTAATAAAACAGCATCACCGGGGACCCCTCGGGCATGTAAAAAGTTGCCTAATTGCATCATTTTCCACCAATGTGTTACTGGCCCTCCCAAACAACTCACATCTTTGTCAGTGAAGCTGAGTGCTCCCACATCTCTTCCTTTATGGTGACCATCTACATTAAGATCCAAAATTCTGGAATTTAAGTCAGAATTCTGAGAAAAAAATCAGAATTCTGAGATTAAGATCCAAAATTCTGGAATTTAAGTCAGAATTCTAAAATTAAAGTCAGAATTCTGAAATTAAAGTCACAATTCTGAGATTAAGATCCAAAACTCTGGAATTTAAGTCAGAACTCATAGATTATAATCTAAAATTCTGGAATTCAAGTCAGAATTCTGAGATTAAAGTCACAATTCTGAGATTAAGATCCAAAATTCTGGAGTTTAAGATCCAAAATTCTGGAATTTAAGATCCAAAATTCTGGAATTTAAGTCTGAATACGGAGATTAAATTCAGAATTCTGAGATTAAAGTCAGAATTCTGAGATTGAGATCCAAAATTCTGGAGTTTAAGATCTAAAATTCTGGAATTTAAATCAGAATTCAGAGATTAAAATCTAAAATTCTGGAATTTAAGTCAGAATTCTGAGAAAAAAAGTCAGGATTCTGACTTTAATCTCAAAATTCTGACTTTTTCATATATTAAACTGAAATAACATTTAAAAATCAGTAAACTTTTTTGAGTGGCCCTAATCCTCTTCCGTACATTAGAGTTGTGCCTTTTCTTCTATATATATATTTTTTAATAACTCGTATTATTTCCTTCTTCCTGGATTTCCACAGATATCGAGAACTTGCGCCAAAAGTAACATTACAGTAAAACATCGATACAAAACAGTTCAAATCGGCTGGATGTTCAACGTATACAATATAAGCAAGACATGGATTAGCTATTGGGGAGAAAAACTGCTAAAACGGCATTTTGCAGAAATATAAACAACAGGAAGCAAAGTCACGTGAGATAAAGCAGACAGTTGATTCCCTGTCAAACAAAGAGCTTTAATCTAAGCACTGTGACACTTTGATTCCATGTTTTGACCATGAGCTGGATAAACATTCATGTTTAGATAGACTGCAGCAGCAGTCAGGTGTTTGTTGACTCTCCAGCTTGAAATCCTGGATGAATGGAGCTGGAAGCGGAATGATCGGTACATACCTTTGGGATCAAAGCTGGGATCTGGAACACCGCTCATGATCTCTGTTTAAAAGCTCTTCTTCGATGTAGTACGAAGTAATCATTAACTCGAAGTGAACTTTAGCATGGTCCCACACTGTTCAGCCGTAGCCTTTTAGCCTATGGAGGAGCAGAACCAGCGGAAAGGCGTGCCGTTTGGGACTGATCACTGTGTAGAGCAGGAATATGAATGACCTTATTATTTACATAGTAAAAAAACAAGAATCTAAAGACTGTAGCAAATATAAACTCCTGATTCAGGTCTTTATTGATATTTATGTATTAAGTTAAAACATGAATAAACACATCAGGCTTGAGCTGTGTGCTGGTAACCTTGCACCAGCTACGCCCACCGGCTATGAGCCGGTTGCGGTCGAGCCAATTGAATCTGCCGACTCGATTAGGTGAACGATTTGTCAGTGCAGTCAGATTCTTCTTCTTGTGTCGTATGGCGGTTGGCAAACAACTTTTTGATGCATTACCGCCACCAACTGAAATGGAGTGTGAATCTGGAATAACCTAATTCAATATCCTACTACATATTACTAAACTAAAAAAAACAACTAAATCCTCTTTAACAAATTTGTCTTTTTAAGAAATCTCAATAATAAGGGAAAAACCCTCTGATCTAGAATCCAAGTCTAAATGGTATTTTAACTTTAATTTATTGACTTGTAATCTGTTTATCAGTTCAACTCTATCATTTACATATTTAGTGCAAAACAATATGACATTCTCCACTGTTTCTTCTTGAAAACAAAAATCACACTTTCCTGTATCATGTTTCCCTATTTCAAACAAACTGTAACCTTGATATCACTATTTCCTCCTTTCTATTCCTTGCTGTTTTTCTCATAAAGCCAACTTTTCTTTGAATATTATAAAACCATCTACCAGTTCTTTCTTCGTGCAGTTGGGATGCCTCCGTGTCAGCAACCGATAGAATCCTATCCTATCATTAGCTGCATTTAAATATTCAAAATAAGGAGCATCTAATACTTTTGACTTGGCTGTCTTTGAATAATTACATATATTAATAATTAAAGTTGGGAAATAGTTGTAGGATACAGTGATGTTTGAACCGTTTGAACAGTATTGCATGAGATAGAATAGAAAATATTAATAGACAACAACAACAGACCATTATAACTTTTAGCATTGAGTTAATTTGCAAAGATGATCGTCAATGTGTCCATGTGGGCATGCTTCTTCACAAACAAAGGGACTTTAAAGATGGAGTGTGAACAAAAGGAAAAAGTCTTGCAGGACCAAAGCCACAACAGAATCAGACAGGTTTTATTTAGAGGCATGGTCTTGCATAATAGGGGATTCAATGGGTTGCAATTTCAAGCACAACTTAATAGTGATAGTAAGCCAGTAGCGTTTCATCTGTGAAAATATTTGGTACTTGGGCCACTATTAATTAAGGAACTTCTGAATGCAACCTGTGCTGGATTTAATTTAGAGGTATAAGCTTTGTGGAGATTAAAATACATGCATACCAAACTTTACAGATTTTTCTTTTTCCTTTTTATTTTAAAAGCATGTTTCATTCTCTGTCTTGCTTTGGTTTTTTACTACTTCTTTTTTTTTCTTTTTGACATTGGTCTATAAAGTTTGTTGTTGTAACACATAACCCATTTTTGAGATGGTTAAATACATTTCCTATGGCTATGGCTTGCTAAGTGAATCTAAACTAGGTGATATCCCACCAAATGAAGACTCTTAGGGTGGTGTGTGTGAATGCTAGAGGATGGCTAGGATATATGTTTATCTTCTTTACAAGAATATTTCAGATGAAATGAAGTGATTAATCATATGGCAAAGAAGATATTCTAGAATCTAGATGCTTTAATAATGATTAACCAGACCCCCATTTTATATTTTTTTTTTAGAATGATCACTGAAATTAAAGCTAATTATAATTTTATTACTCATCACCAGTTAAACAAGAGTAAAGGATTAGAAATAGTTTAAACAATAATCTTTTCATAGCAATCTAAAACTTTTGTCCCGGCAGCACACTGATTGATTGATCTTTGGGAATAGTCGTCTGGTATCAAACTCACATTTTTCTTTGTCATAGGCTGAATTGGTCATGGGTTGCTCTGTATAAATAATTGTAAAATCTGTAAAATCAAATTAAAAGGCAGTAAAGAAGATAGATAGGTGCAATTAGGGTCCATAAATGTATTTTTTATATAATCACTCTGATATGATCATTTGCAAGTATGTACACACTCACACATGTGAGTTTGATTCTAAAAACAATATCAGTTTCAAGTGAAGAGCTGATAAGTAGCTGAAAGATCTTTGCCAAAAGAGCCAGATCCCCAAAAGTAATCTAAGGTCCCATCATGTTGCCTACGCGGCAATCCGAGATCTGTGATTGGTTGATTTGCCCTGTCGCGCGCTCACGTCATAAGGAAGAATCAACCAGTTAGCAACCTGCCTGCCCGCATGTAGCCTAACCTGCTGCTTTCTTCTTGTTTTGTTAGTAGTAATGGGTTTAATCAAAGCCAGCCTTAGACTGTTATCGCTCTGTGCAGTCAGCGTCCTGCTGGTGCTCCTGCTGCGGCATTGGATGGCCAGTAAGCAGTACGTTTTTAGCAAAGAAGATGTCGCTAAGTTGGCCAAGCAGTACGCAGGTAAGTTTTAAATGTCAGTCTGGTTCTCCTGTTCTCTTGGGTTTTCTTTAGCAAGGCTAAAAATCTAATAATTTGTTCCTGTAATCATTTTCAGGGCAGGACCATGAACAGGCTTTCTCTAAAGTGGTGGTGGAGCTCAGGAAGAGGTAACGATGCCACCTGAGTTAGGGAGGGTCTCCACATGGTTCACTTAGGATGCTTGCATTGATTCAACAGGGGCGAAGCTAGAAGCTGGGGGCAGGCCCCCCTCCTTAGCCAGTCATTAGCCACACAGCTCTCTAATGGATGTTAACCCTCCAGAGGGTGGCGGCAGAAAGTAAATGTTGTAACATAACATTTTAATCGTTAGTATATTAATGATAAGGTGACACTAAAAATACAATAATTATATAAATATACTACCATTAAAGTTATAGTGAAATCATATTTAAATGTGAAATCATTCTGGCTTAAACATGTATATAAGAGTACTTTTTATCAGTCTATATTGTCCCAAAATAAAAAAAAAATCTGTAAAAAAAAAAAAAAAAAAAATCTGTTTTTTTTTTGTTTTTTTTTCCCATTATTTTATGCAGGCCAGTTAGTTATACGTCAGCTTGTACACCTAAATTCAGCCACTACCTCTGGGAAGCACATGGAGGGCTGTGTGGCCCTCCAAAGAAATGCCACCCCACACCATTACTGACCCTCTACCAAACCAGTCATGCTGAAGGATGTTGCAGGCAGCGGATCGTTCTCCATGGTGTCTCCAGATTCTGTCACATGTGCTCAGTGTGAACCTGCTTTCAGCTGTGCTCTGCACAGGTGTTCTCTGGCAAATGCCAACCATCGTACACGGTGTTGGGCTGTGAGCACAACCCCTATGTGTGGTCGTCAGGCCCTCATACCACCCTCATTAACTGGGTTTCTAGCCGTTTGTGCAGACAAATGCAAATTTGTGGCCTGCTGGTTTGCAGCATGCTACTATGAATGGGAAAGCACCACTAACATTCAGAAGTCACCACAACATCAGCCAGAAAGCATAGGTACTTAGAAGTGGTCCTCACCTGCAGCTTATTAACTGTTGCTAGTCTTGCTAATTGTCAATCATTTCTACCTGTTGCCTAACCCATTTGCATAACGGCATGTAAAATTGTTAATTGTGTTCATTTCTAACTGGGCAGTTTGATTTCAAAGAAACTATATATATAAATATTTATGTAATTATATATGTTGATTACTTGTTCTTTTTTTTAATATATTTTTAGCAGTGTATATTAGGGTTGTCACGATACTAAACTTTTCAACTCGATACCGATACTAAGTAAAATATTTGATACTCGATACTATTTTTGATACCACAAGAATAAAAACAAAGACTAAAATTCAACAGAAATATTTTCATTACTAAAAAAATACAATGAAATAAATAAAAAAACAAGAATAATATTTTGAGGTTGTATGCTGTGCACAATATTAAGCAAGCTTGATAAAAAACTAAAATTAAAATTAAGTGTTCCTTCCTTGGCTATGTTTTGCAGACATAACAATGACACTAGCCAAACCGGTTAAACAAAAATAATTCTCAGCAGCTGCACCTGAAACTGAAAAATGCACAGAATTATTCAATCACACAGTGTTCAGAAAGTGCATTTTCCGCTATTCTGCACTTTAGATGGCTGTATCGATACTTTTAAAAACGAGTATTGTATCCTGATACAACGTTTCAGTATCGATACTTTTTTGAGTATCGATACTTTTGACAACCCTAGTGTATATTTGGTTTTAACTGAACAAAATAGGATGAGGCTCAAGGGGGATGAATATTTTCTAGTTATGGAATAGTTGCTTTGTTTTCATAAAGGCTAATAAGTGGATCTGAACCAGGTATCCGGGTCACATCCTGCCAGATGAGGACTTGCAGTGGGTGTTTGTGAATGCTGGAGGCTGGATGGGCTCCATGTGTCTCCTCCATGCCTCCCTCACAGAGTACGTGTTGCTGTTTGGTACTGCGGTGGACACTGGAGGACACTCGGGTAAGGAACTGTGAGGTTACATTAACTTTACCTCTTTTTATATTTATAATTTAGACTTTGTACCACTTTATTTGTTCTTTATGATGGTTTCTGTTTGTCAGGTCGATACTGGGCAGAGATCTCTGACACCATCATCTCAGGTACCTTTAGGCAGTGGAAGGAGGGAACCACCAAGAGTGAAATATACTATCCAGGTAATGGATAAAAAGATTTACATTCACACATGTAGTCGTTGTTGATGTATTTGCAGCTATTACAACTTTAAATTTTTCCATTCTTAATAAAATATAAAGTTTTTGTCATTTAAGAAAAATGAATCGCTTTAAAGCTTTTTACATATTTAATATGACATTTATTTGTTATAATTCAATTTAATTAAAAAAGATGTGGAAAAAGTGAAAAAGACAAAAGCTACAATAACCTTTTTTTTTTTTTTATGGCAACCCAATTTTAAATGTTAACTGATTTAATGTTAAATGTATTGTATTTGCATTTTCTTGACATTTATATCAGTTAGTAAAGCTAAAGTTTTATAAAGGATCTCTGTATAAATGTTTAAAAAAAAAAAAATGCAATAAAATTTCCAGGATTATTTTTAAAGCCTACAGGAAAAAATGGTCGGCATAATTTGGGAACACACTGGACAAAAATGACAAAAACTCCCCATTTCCATTTGAAAAATGATTATTAAGCATTTCTTTACATTCATAATCTTTCCTCTCAGGTGAAACAATCGTTCATGAAGTGGGCGAAGCCACGTCGGTCCAGTGGAGCTCCGGGACGTGGATGGTGGAGTACGGTAGAGGCTTCATCCCCTCCACCCTTGGCTTTGCTCTGGCAGACACCCTGTTCAGCACCCAGGACTTTGTCACAATGTTCTACACGGTACGCGTCTACGTAAAGGCGCTGATGCTGGAGGCCGGCACACTGCTTACAGAGGCTGGCGTCTTCTGAGGGACGAAGATGGACGCACACTTGGAAATCGATACACAATTAAAACCTGCCATTGGGGCGGGGAGTGGTTATGCAAAAATTCCAGCATGTAATTTATGACAATCCAGTTTGCAGTTTGTCATTCGCTTTCAAATCCGGTTAAATATACATTAATTAGTACCTCATAGCGTTAGGACAGGCTGCTCAAGTATAGAAGGTGTTTGAAAATAATTCTGGTTCAATAGTTATTAGGCCTCGTTTCAGATTATTATCGCAAAAATATATCTGAGATGCAAAAATAAACTTTATAACAAGATGTAGTCATGGGTCAGACCAAAACCAGTTAAAATGCCTCAGCACTGTGATATTTTTGCAACCTGCACTACAGATTTAGATTTTCATCCATAAACTTGAGCAATTAAATAATGAAAACCTGTTAGTTGCACTCTTTCTTTGTTGCTCTGATATTGTGGGTGTAGTGCAAGCTAATATTAACTGGGGTAATTAATCTGCAGCTAGCGCCTCTTGTAGCTTGTTTCCCTAAAAGAAGATAAAAGGTCTTTTCAAGTTTCCACACTGGCTCACTCCCTCTCTTCTTTTCATCACCAGAAAGTTTCAATTTTGTTTTTTCTTTTTCTCGGCTTTCATTCAGCTGACCAATCATGTGCAGCATCAGATGGTAGACTGGGAGAACCGCTTTAAACTATGTGCCAAAGCCAAACTTTTTCAATAAAAGACTTTTAAACAGCAGGAAGGATAACAGTAGATCAGGTTTAGCTGCTTTCAAACCATACATTTTAAAAACTAATGAACCATGATACTGCTAACAAGCCCATACCTCATCTTATCTTTATGCAAGTTTATTCTGTGAGGTGGATTTCCTAACGATATTTTAAATGCATCAACCACACACAAACTAGCACCAGGAAGAGAAATATGTTTTTCTTAATGCACTCTTTCATGTTAGACCGTCCTCTATTCCTTTTATTGAAAACCTATTAAATCTGACAAGATATGTGGATGAAATCTATGTAAATATTCGTTGTATTCTATCTGCCAGCTACGAACCCGGTAGCCTTGTAACTACCTTTGATTGTGTTGAGGCAATAACTAAATGACCATTCACACTACATGGGTGTATGCTGTCTATGTCCAATGATTGGAAATCAACTCACATTTATGTTCCGTCAGATTTTAGATGTTTATCTGAATTAGTTTTAAGATTAATTTAGAAATCATTTCACATCTGTGTGGAAGTCTTATTCAGCCCAGGAAACATTGCACTGAAAACCTGTTCTTCCATGTTTTCTTTTTGTGTGTTTTTTTTTTTTTTCACTTGATTGTTCTAAAAATCTTGTACATCTTTTAAGAATGCATCCTAACGAGGACACTAAATGACAAAACTCATTGTGTTGGGCACCACATGTGAACATCTTAGCAGTGAAATTGGTGACTGTAACTGCAGCTGAACCCAGTATCTCTGAGAAACCAGCCTGCTTTTCTAACATAATGATGAATCATTGGTTATACTGTACTGAATCAGTTTACATGCACATGTGTGAGGAACATATTGCTGTATTTCTGTGCAATATAAAGATTGAAACTGATCCTAATGAATATACAAATCTGAATAAAATCAATTCTGTTTTGATTATGTGGGTGTTTAATATTTGTTAAGACTGTAAATAAACCGCTGTGATTTTAAGACCTTTAGGACAGGAAATGTAGTCAACACTACATAATTTTTTATTTCATGCATAAATATTTTCTCTTTGGGTTTGAGTTGAACAAACTGAGTTGGCCTAAAAGCTCTAATTTATTATAAAAGCATTTCAGTGGAAAAAATGCCTATACTTTAAAATAGAGAAAAATAAAGATGACTTGGAATAAAACTAGCACACTCTTTAACTATCCGATGAGATCAGCAACCTAGAATTTGCTTCAAGTTTTAATTTGGAGTCGGGAATACCATGTTCCCAAAGCACTGTGTGAATGAAAGATAAATCATAGTTAATTCAACAGTGTTAAATATGCAATGTCAAAGTACATTGACTCCTAGTTATTACAACAACTGGAGTAAGATATACATTATGTAGAGAGTAATTCAGAATGGGACCAAATGCACTTAGATTGGCATTACTTTAACACTGCAAAAATTATTAGGAGCATTACTCATTTATATAAATATCTTTAAAGAAAAACATAAAACCATCAACTGAGAAATCTAGCAGAAATGTAAGTTTCTGCTGCCATTATAACTGGTTATATAAAAAAAATTATAGTTAATGTAAAAACATCAGTTTTTATACAGTTTGGGTGCATAACTATTTTAATTGTTATTTAAATTGTTTTTTCTTAAGGATTCTTTGGACAGCTGTGTTGGAAGTTTTACCACTAATTCTTTTCTCTGTTTCTTTAGAAATGTTTTTATCAAAACAAAGACAAATGGGAGCGTCATATTTTCTCCAGGAGCTCTAAAATAAAATGTTTTAATATATAATACTTTTGGTTTCCTGTGACGTCCCAACACCCGTGTCCCATACTACGGTATCCATGGTAACCAGCAGCCGCGCCGTCGTTTTGTGGCAGTTTTTCAGCATTATGATGGAACTGTCTTACCAGTCTATGAAAGTCGCCCATGAGGCTCGAGAGGCAGTGAGTTTTATTTCTTTGTATATTTCATATCCATATGCTATCAGGTAGGATATTGAAAACATCCGAAAGCTGGTTTGTTTTTGTAACATATTTTGGGACGCCATTTATGCCTGGATATCAGCGAATAAGGTTCAAATTACAATTTGTTCCCTAGAATAAGTATGAAAACATATTAGTTTCTTTTAAACAAGCAGCACTTGCAAAGTTTGGTCGCTAGCTTAAATTAGCTGTTAGCTAGTCTAAATCAGCGTTCTCTGGTTGCCTAGAAACCGTGAAAAACATTTGAGATTTGTGATGGTTTGTCTCCCCCTGCTGGCAACTTTTGCGTTCTGACATGAACGTTCTGGTAGCTTATATATTATGTTTTTGTGTGTGTTTTTTTATTTTTTATTTTTTTAGAGGAGATTTGGAATAAATTAGTAACTTAGCCTTTTCAGCCCATTTTTTTTTGGAGTAACCTAGATATAATCACTCATTTATTGGATCACCTGTAAAAAACTGGCACCTATAATTGTTAGGATCCAAACAATAGTTAAACAAATCATTGTCTTCCTGCAAATTTAGACAGAATTGAAAGAACACATAAAGATTATAAGCGATATATCTATTATGATTTAAAATGGAAAAAATCAGTTTAATATCAATTTCAAGAATGAAATGCAAAAATCACATATTAGGGTTTGGTAAAGCTTAAAATTCAATTTAATTATTTGTTTATTTAGGTAGGTCATTCTTTAGTTATATCAATAATTGATTAATCATGATTAATCCAATTAATTGATCAGCCATAGAAATGAGTAAATAAAAACAATTATCTAGTTACACAACATAACATATAAAGACTGATTCTTATTAAACATATGCTTTTTTAAATTATATTTTATAAAATTTTATATTCAAAGTATATTCTTTACTTTTCAGTTTTATGATACTTTAACTACTAGTGTGAATTTATCATTTTCTTTAATGGGAGGGTATGTAGACTTTTAAACAACTGTATAGCAGTTATGAAAGCAGCAGTCTTGCAGATCTGATACTTTGCTGTTGCTCTTTTGCAGGATAAGCTGAGGACTGAGATGAGGAAGAAGAGCCTTCTTGTTCTTATCTACCAATATTTGCTTGAACAAGGGTCAGTATGAATTAATTACTCTGGTACAGCTGCTATTATCTAAGACTGAGCTTTATTAGAATATATGGCTTCTGAACAGTTCATCCTAACCTTGTTAGAAACAGGTTAAAAAATGCAGGTTAGGCTTTATATGTTTGTGTGTATATCTGTGTACAGACATTATGATAAATTATGTTTAATGCCTAATATCCCCTATGTTGAATTGCAATCTGTCCCTCCAGTTTGCTGCTTGAAAAGGGAGATTGGTTTTTCACTTCTTTATTTAGTAAAGTCAAATTTCCCCTGTTTGTAGAGTAAATCTGACACTAACTCTGAAAAGCAACCAAAGATATTATTATAGACTTCCATGACAGGATGCAAAAAAGGAAAGTCATTAAACTAATGTAATGTCCAGGGGAAAAAAAATAATGATTACAAAGTAGAAGTACAGAGATACTCTGAATGATAAAAAAAACAAACAAAAAAAAAAACAAACATGTATTTATTTCCAATAGTGAATTAGAAGAACTAACAATAGGGCTAATGGGAATTTGTTTTGTTTTTTTAAATGCTAAACTAACAAAAAACTGCCATCTTGTCTGTGTAAAATGGAAATCTAACACGTGCTCTGGTATTCACCGAGCAGGTATACATCGGCTGCAGTAACTTTGGATCATGAGACGAACGGAAACGTGAGGAAATTTGAGGTTTGTGATAACGTTGATCTGGAGATGGTGCTCATGGAGTACGAGATTTATCACTACGGCAAATTCCAGAAGTATCCTAAACTCATCAGGAAGGCAGCAGAAGCAGGTGTGAGACGGACTCGGTGCACTGAAGTCATCCTCTAAGCCCAGATTAGTCAAGCATCATAAGCCTTTTCTTTTCTTGAAATATATATCTTTTTGTGTAAAGGTGAAAGCAGACTGGCAAAAAGCGCTGCAGTGAAGAAGTAAGTCTGATCTTTATAAAAAAAACAAAATTTTCCAGTTTTTATCATGGATTTTTCTAATTATTCTCACATCCTAAGGGGTTTAAATGTTTTTTTCTGTTTCTGTGACAGGAGTCCTCAGTCAGCTCTGAAGCCTCTTCCCAAAATCATCCAATGCTCATCAGCACCAACTGGAAATTCAGCCAAGAAGATAGCTGCTAGTTCACATGTAAAAAAACTAAAAACTAAAAAAATAAACATTACATAAACTGCCTAAAAAAAGTAAAACAAATATGAAATTATATTTTTTTTACAGGAAAACAACACCTCAGTGGGACCTGAGTCTCTGGATTTATGCTTCAACACGTTCTCCATCAAAAATGGACCTGCTGAGAGGAGCGCCTCAAGCAGGAAGGTACAGAGGAAGTAATAACACAATAATCCTTCCAGTTAGGCTTTTCTACACTTTCTATCTGATATACTCTTTTCAGAAATGAAATATGAATTAAAAGCAACCAGAGCCATGAGCTGTAATACGTTTTTGAATCTAAGAAAATAGCTTTTAAGGAAAAACACCTTTAAGCACACTTTGATTAATGTTTGAAAACTGCCTGAAGTAAATTCTGTGCTGGTGAAAAAATCTTCTGTTTCTTTATAGATTACAAACATTCTACTTTGGTAAACAGTGGTACTAATCTTGGATTCTTTAGTGCATTTCCTAACATTTTGTGTTTTATTAAAAGGTCCCAGTTTTACTGCAGAAACTCATTGGAAAATCTAAGATTAAATCACGACGAAAAAAAAACATTGTTTTGTTCGTGCGATTATGTAACATTGAGCAGTTGTCTTTTGGTCCAGATGACTGATGGCAAAGCGGCGCTCCACGATCCTGTCAATGGATTAGCTGTTCACTCAGACCACATGGTAATTACACCCCAGAGAAAACAAAGAAATCATTTAATTATGATTTCATACTAAATATAATTTTAAAGGGAGCATTAATGTAAGCATATTACTTAAAGTAGTGTTGGTTGTATTTTTTTTTTTTACTTTGCAGGAGCGGTTGCTAAAGCCCCTTAGTGGCTTCTCTGGGATCAGCGGTGAAATGAAGGAACTTGCTGCAATCATTAGTGAGGTACTTACACACACAGACGCAGGTTCAAAACAGTACATATAGGGACGTTTATACACAGACTCCACTAATATTTAGACATGGGTCCAAATGTGTGATATGATGTGAAACACTGCAGACTGGACACCATCTGCAGTAGGAAGGTAAGCCACACAAAGTCACTGTTATAGAAGTTGGTTGTTTATTAAATATTCATTGAACGTTGAGTGGAAGGATAAAGTGCAAAAGAAACAAAGCCTTAAGGAATGTACAAACTAGAGTCTGTACATCAAAAACCACTACACACACATATATCCTACATAGGGTTACCTGGATTAAGGAGAAAATGAATTTCTGTTGGATTGTCAGGCTTCTAAAGACCTCTTTTCATATAAAAGTACAAGCAGCCATCTACAGGGGGATTTTAAAACACTGCATTCTTCCTTCTGCTGACATTTTCTATGGATACGTTGATTTCCTTTTCCAGCATCACTATGCATTTGCCTGCACTGCCGAAGGTACCAAAAGCTGCTTAAAAAACATGGTGTCCATGTGCTTGGCTCACCTGAACTCCATAGTGAATCTATGAAGGAATGGCAAGAGGAAGATGAGAGACAAGACCCACAATGCAGATGACCTAAAAGCTGCTATCCAATCATTTTTAACTTCCATTACACCTCAGCGGTGCCACAGGCTCACCTTACCAAAGCTATGCTGTACTGATGCAATAATTGTATTTAGTATTAAGTAAATGGAAACAAAATCAGTTTTAGAAACCTCAAACATATTTTTTAATATATATTTTTGTCATATTTGTCACATTCTTACATGCATAACTGGGGGTTTACCTACTTTAAGCCATTATTGCTAAAATTACAAGAACTAAAGCCTGGAAAGATTTTGGTCTATGTGAAAAGTATCTATAATAGAGTTTCATTTTCTGAAATAAATGACAAAAAAAGCATTTTTTAAAATAATTTTCAGATTTTTATTTTAGACGTACAGTACCTTCAGATCACCTAATAGCTTGCATTAAAATATGTTTCTGACTCAGTCCACCAGAGAGCAGTAAAGAGCTATGCTGTAAACACGCTGCTTTGCTGTATTAAAGAAGGCCTATTCTTCTATCTATATTACTTAAATGATCTTTCATCCTAAAGGACACCTCTTTAGAATCCTAATTGACCCACAACATTTCCTTCCGAATGCATCCTTCACTGTTTGTGTCTGTGTGTGTTCACCCCTAAAGGACATCTATTTGCACAACCCAAATGTGAGATGGGAGGACATCATCGGCCTGGAGGATGCCAAGCGATTAGTCAAAGAGGCCGTCGTTTATCCCATTAAGGTGAGCCCGGCACCTAGCCATGGCTGGTATTTCGATTCTGAATACATCTCCTTTAGGGGCTTAAAGAGGAGCAGGGCAGAGGGGTCAGGTCAGTTTATTAGACTGACATTAAATCTATATCTGGGATCTTATGGCAACTCGTATACACAGATGGATAGACAGAGAGGTGGAGGGGATGCACAAACATGGAAGGCCATGTAGAATTTACCATACCCAGGCAGGCTCAGACAATTTTGCCTCTGTGTATAGATAACCATCATACACACATTTTTATCATCATCATACAGACCTTTCTGTTGACATCAAATCAGCTTGCATCCTCTTGACATTTTCAGATGAAGATGAGGACTGATGTGTCTATCTTCTTACATATATGGTGTTAGACTCTTTTATTGAATAAAACCACCTCTCTGTGGTCCCTAACTTCTGTCTCCATTATTATTCATTCTCCGTCTTATAAGGTCAGGCGCATTTGATTTGAGTCGCTTCACCACCTAAAATTCAGACTAATTTGTGCCTCATGGCATTTGGAGCACTGACTCAGATTCCCATGCGCTTCAACGCCTTCACCTGCACATAAGTCGGCTGCTGTTGTAGTTAGGAAAATATTCAACAACAGAGATTTATAGATGGTTTGTGAAGCTAATGTTCATAGCTTTCTCAGACTAAATCCCCCCCACCCCGCTGTTGATTCTCTTTTTGTTTAATTTGCCCTCTTTACAGTACCCTCAGCTGTTTACAGGCATCTTATCACCATGGAAGGGCTTGCTGCTTTATGGCCCCCCAGGTAACACTGCTCTTATTCACATTTTTCATGTAAAAATTCCTGACTCAGATTTCTGGATATCTCAATCACTTGTGAGAGAATATTAAAAGATTAATTAAAAGAATACTCTACATCTGAATTGTTTGAAGGATATATTACTGGATGTTTGTGTAGATAAACATTTAAACTAAAGTTTGGAAATCCCAAACTTTTCCTTTTCCTGTGTTTCTTCATACCTGGAAAAGGCTTCAGTAAATCATACAAAACCAGGTACACCTTTTCTACCATTAGAGAAATGATTTAAACGCTTGTTTTCATGTCTCACATACACACAGGCACAGGTAAAACGATGCTGGCCAAGGCTGTGGCTACAGAGTGTAGGACAACCTTCTTCAACATTTCCGCCTCCAGCATCGTCAGTAAATGGAGAGGCGATTCGGAAAAGCTGGTCCGGGTAGGTCTTCATGCAGAATGGAGATTGCTCCTCAATAAATGAGGATTTGTTTTGAAAAATTGATATATTTCTAGACATGGTTCAGTTATATTTACTTACCGTAGTTACATTTACCTGAGTAATAAAAACAGAACAACTTTTTAAATATTTTACAGCATTGTACTTTCTACTTTTTATTTGAGTAATCTCCACTGTTGCTACAAGCATGCTTAGTGTGAGGGATTGCATTCAAGTCACTGATTCGATGCAATCAACTGGTTTTCCTTAGATAGAAAACTTTGAATCAATTTGACTGCATGATCTGGTGAACTGGAAAGTGCCTTGAGATGATGTGTTGTCAATCAGCACTATATAAATAAACTGAATTGAAAGTAATTTGAATTAAATATATAAAAAATGTCACTACTCTTACTTGAGGAAAGTTTCTAGCTACTTCATCTACTGTCAGTAACTTATTGAAAACAAGCTTGTTTCAAACAAATATGCACAATTAAGAGAAACACTTTCTCTAAGGCTTTTTGGTTTAGATTTTTTTTTCCATTTGTTGAATCTGAAAATACAGTAAAAAACATATTGTGACTGACCCTGTTCTAACATACTGTATCAATAATTTTACATTTTTTTAATGTATTTTGAAGAGTGTTCATGACACCTACATTTGTAACTATGTAATTACTGTATGTTTATTTTTTTATATAAATAATTTTTTTTGAAACACCAGATTGTGTACATAACTTAACAGTATTTTCTAAAACATAAAATTACGGTAGTTATCTTTTATAGTACGGTAAGTCGATTAGTTACTCATTACTTGCGTAGAGTTTTTACTAAATACCTTTTCATTCTTACTTGATTCATTTCTTGGATGCCTGCTTTTTACTTTTACTTGAGTAAAATATGAATGAAGTATTGTTACTTTTACCGTAGTACAATTTTTGGATACTCTACCCATCTCTGTGTATTTCTCTAATTCCCCTTAAAAGGTAATGCTTGTATTCATTTAAAGTCGCTGCGTCGCTACTAGGGATGTAACTGGCAGATTAAATAATCTCCTTCAGTTAGCTCTCATGTTTAAGTGAGGCTCTGACTGCCGTAAAGCGGTGCTCTGGGTCACATGACCCATTCAGTGACAGATCCGACCCTTTCAAGTTACATAGGTGAGATTTTTTTTAGAAGAGAAGCCCGCATGATGCATCCATACACAACAAGTTCTGGTTACTGACCTGAACAATATTTTTATACATTTCAAATTAAGCTAATTTGGGTCGAAACTTACTGATTTAAAAAATATGTAAAACTTAATTATCAGCCTGTTCCTTTAGAGCCAAAATAAACATTTGAAATATGTATCAGTTTCTCTTACTGTCAATAGTTGTTGATATAAATTTGTTTCTTGAGGGATTTCTATTCTTAACATTTATTGATAAAACAAATAAAAGATGCCCAGTTTGTTTTTACACCTAAACATGTTTTTGTTTTTGCAGGTTCTTTTTGAGTTGGCAAGGTACCACGCTCCATCCACTATCTTCCTGGATGAGCTGGAGTCAGTGATGGGCCAAAGAGGAACCAGTTTAGGGTATCGGCTGAAGACTCAAAACACCTCATCGTGTGAGTCATGTCAACCTAAACCGGACAGAAACCATGTGTCTGTTTGCAGGAGAGAGCATGAAGGGAGTCGGCGGATAAAGACGGAGCTGCTGATTCAGATGGATGGGCTTGCTACATCAGAAGACCTTGTGTTTGTTCTTGCTGCCTCCAACCTGCCCTGGTAACGCTGCAACGCATACACCTTTATACAATGGTATTCATTCTATTAGTGACTATTAGTGTCTGCGTTACACGCAACTCTTGTTCTATTTATTCCACTATTTTATGTTGTAAAAGAAGAAGTGTGAAATATCAAAGTAAAAACCTTACAAAAGCATCCTTTGTTTTTTACACTGCCTTATTGTCATTATGCTGTCACAAGTACAGTTCAATTCAAATCAATTCAGTTTATTTATATAGCGCCAATTCACAACATATGTCATCTCAAGGCACCAGGTCATACAGCCAAATTGATTCAAAGTTTTCTATCTAAGGAAAACCAGTTGATTGAATCGACCATTTGACTCGAATGCAATCCCTCACACTAAGCATGCTTGTAGCGACAGTGGAGAGAAAAAACTCCAACTGCCCACAGAGCATTGAAACTTACTCGCAGCATTTAAACCATCCCCTTTGGGAGCAGTGGGCTGCCATTTTGGGGCTCCCAGGGAGCAGTGTGGGGTTAAGGGTCTTTGCTCAGTGACCCAGAGTGGCAGTCTGTGGGAGTGGTTTCAAACTCACAACCTCAGGATTTCAAGCTCTATGCTCTAACCACTAGGCCACCACTCCCCCAGTAGAAATATGGCCTTACATCGGGTTTCAGTGTATTTTCATTGAGATTTTAAGTAATAGATGAAAACAAAATAGGGCATGGTTGAATAGTGGACAAAAAATGATTAGTTCTTAGAGTATTTTTAAGAAGAAATATCTGTGTGGGACTTCTGTATCTAAACATTTCAAAAATGTAAATGTTTTTTTTCAAAGATCAAAAGCTCTGTTAGAACCTTTTTTCCCCCCACTCAACAATTCTGCTCAAGTTTATGTTGATCTATCCAATAAAATCCAAATAAAATTGTCTGAGGTTAAATCATGAAAAAAAAATTAAGATCTTCGTAAGTGAGATGATAAAGATATCAGCTGTTTTTTTTCCCTCTTTCTCTTGTTTCAGGGAGCTGGACCACGGGATGTTGAGGAGGTTAGAGAAAAGGATTCTAGTGAATCTTCCCTCCTCAGCAGCTCGCCAAGCCATGATCTCTCATTGGCTGCCTCCCCTCAGCTCCCTTGGAGGTGTGAAACTACAGACTGAATTAGACTACAAAGAGCTAGCAGAGGTGAGTTATAGCTTACAGGCAAATATCAGCATTCATATTATGAGATATATTTAAATCAGGAATAAAATAGTTTAATTTTTTTGTTCTGACACAGCAGATGGAGGGATACTCTGGCTCTGATATCAGATTAACGTGTAAGGAAGCCGCCATGAGACCAGTTCGCAAGATTTTTGATGCTCTGGAGTCGCATCATGATGGTGAATAAAAAAATTCCCACACATTTCTAAATGGTGATCCCTTCAACTGTTCAGGTTGCTGTGATTCTCATCCACAGCAGACACAGACATGCCCATCATCGAGCTGGGAACAGTGACAACATCAGATTTCCTGGAGGTTCTAACAGACACTAAACCGTCAGCCCAAAACCTGATGGACAGATACACAGCCTGGGAGAGGAAACACAAGTCGGTTTGACTGTCAGGATGAAAATAATGCTCCAAACTGGAAATTTTTTTTCTTTTTTAAACCTTTTTATTTTTCGTTTCTTACTACTTTGTATTATAATACCACAGATATTTAATTTCTTCATGAGGGTGTTTTGGTATGTTGAGCAGAACAGAAGCATATTGCAAAAAAAAAAAATGTTTGCCTTCTTTTTTTAAGAGTATAAATCAAGTAGCATGCGTGTGTTTTTTTAAATGTGCAAAATGCTCAAAGATTTCTCTTCTGAGTTTAAAATGATTTGTAAATTGATCACAGTACATTAGCTTTAATATTCGTTTAACAAATATTCCTTCAGAAAAATTTTAGAGCAGAGAAACAACAGAGTTGTTGCAAAGTGGGAGAGTTTATGCAAATGAGATTGGAGGGTAGCAGCCAATGGTGATTTATAGCATATTCTGCAGGATGTGTTCGACTGCGTCAGGAAAACTGTTGCATGTCAGGTAAGGAGGCGGGTCAATTTTCTTCTCATCTCCGTCTCTGTATTTACCTGAAGCATAAAAACACATTTTTTGGAGCTCAAATGAAATCCCAAATAATTTCAGACATCTTGGAGGAACATGAGGATGGAAGAGTAACATTAATTGCTGAGGTGATCTCAGTCATCAGGTTATCGACTCATCTTGCAAATTAGTCAATAACCTTCTATCATGAAATGTATTTAACTCCATTCACTTCCCATTAAATCTAACTAGCTTCCCCATCACTTCTCAGGAAGATCATATTTTACTACAAGGAAAGAGTGTTTAGGGGATGTGCATTGTTTCTTTTCTGCCACATTTCACATGAAGAGTTTAATCTATCCATACATGCTTGCAGTGTCACCTGTAAGACTTTCAACTTTTTATTTGAATTTTAGCATAAATGCACTGAAGTGAGCAGTTCTCACAAGAAAGCTGTGAAGATTTCAAGGTAAGGAGTCCTTCTGCGTGTCCTCGTTATATGAAACATTTGATCAAGCTAATGTGGTGACTCGACTCACCTGTTCTGACCAGAATACCCAACATTCCTGCGTTCTGAGCCCCGCCTACATCATCTCTGGCATCCTGCAGGAAATCAAAGTTAAAATAAGGGTCAGAACTCGGCTGCGTATAAAATCAGGGGAATGTGAATTTAGATTGGTGGAAGATTAGATTAGATTTTGTTTTGTTATATGAAGGCACCAGTGAAATGGTTACAAATATACTCACGTCTCCTATCATGACAGCTTCATTAGGACTGCATCCGAGACCAGACAATGCCTATTTAAAGCAAGAAGAAGAAGAAGAGGTCCTACACATCATTTCATTGCAGTATTCCAGACTTTTCCAGATTTCTGGTGTGAATCAATGGAATTGGAGATTCTGGATGGGTGGACTGAATGATATGATGAGCAGACTAATTGAACTTTTTAAAGCCTGATCCAAGAATAAAACAAAACAGAAAATTACTTTTTTTTGGTTTGAAGTCCTTATTTGGCCTTTTAACTAAATATGTAAAAAGAAAAAACAGAAATAAATTTTTGATATTAATAATTTATTACTATGCGATAAGTCAAGATAATTTTTTGTGTAGTCTTCTGCCCTCTGTTATCAGGTATATCTGATCGTGTACAATAAGATTTTGAGCAAAGTTTTTACCATTAAATTATGCAAAAGGTGTCAGACGCAAAACATTTCAGAAACCATATCTATCAAATATGATACATTTGGCATTACAGGGTTAATAAATTAAGGGTCGTTAGTAAAAAGCACCAAAGCAATATCAGATACAGATTATTCACTGTAGACTGTCCAAAATTAACAAGACGTGGAATACGTGTCCAGACTTTCTGAGATCTCAAAGGAATCCCCTTATTAGTGATACTATAGCAAAGTATGTATTAAAAAACAATCTTCACCTGTGTGAAAAATGACTCTTCAGGCTTTCCCACTACTTTAGCTTTACAGTCCGTGGCATACTCTAGTCCTGTCACAAAGGGCCCAGGGCCAAGGGCCAAACCATCTTTACGTTTGTAGTAACGAGCCTTATGAATGGCAATAAGAGGAGCTCCATCCAAAACCATTCTGGAAAGAAACCGATCAAAATTATTAATAGGGATTGCTCTAATAAAATAACTTGGATTCTTAAGGTTTTAAATGACATCTTTTAAAAAAGTATACTTTTTTATGAGACAGTTATAATCTGTAGTAGAAATTATAAAGAATATTTGCCCCACCTGAAAGCCTTGTTGAGGGTTTGGTAGTTGAAATGATCAGGAGCGAGGCCGATGACGACCGCGTTTGGCTCTGATGTGTCGATTCCTGCAGAAGGGAGGAACGATCAAACAGTCTGCAGCTGTTTTTTTTTTTTTTTATCTCATCTGCTTTCTTTAAACTGTAATAGACTGGCAGTGAAAACAAACTGCAGTAGGGAAAAGGAATTTATGCAATAGAGAAAGGTTTTTAACATGTTAGTTCTTTCAGGAAGTACCAGTGAAGTCCTCCAGCGCGCTGTCCTCCACCAGCAGCAGCGGCCTGTGTTCTTTCTGCTCCAACAAACTTCTCGCTGCACTTAGAGACGTGAAAATTTCTTTTTCCTGCCAGTTCAGAAAAGAACAGCATCCCAGGTTCAAAAAGTTAAACTCATAATTTAAATAAATTGACTACATACAATGTGATTAATGTTAAGCATTAATTCCTTTCCACTGTAGGCACAGAGCCTACACTTTGGGGCCGTGCCATCTGTTGGAGTTCCTACATTTATTTATCAACTCCAAACTTCTTCATCACCATCATCCACCTTAACTTTAATTTTATTTTTTTAGAGCGCTTTAACACATCTAAAATAATAAAACACCCAATAAAACCATAAAATGCAGCATAAACTTAGCATCTACCCGGAAACTGTAGCACTTCCTGATTCCTACTGCTGATAATCTGCATCCATCTCACCTTTGAGCAGGGTTTGCCCCCCTGCCAATACCTCCTGAGGTAGCCTCATATAATGACCACTTATAAATGCTTAATTGGCCAGAAAACTAGTCTTATGCCTAATTTATATTTATAGACATTTATTGAGATTCATTGGCATAAACTGGTTTTCTCTTAACTTATAAAATTGCACAAAACTGGGCAAAAAAACAAAACAACTTGATATTTCACCTGGAGTTCAAAGTTGAGTTTCTGCAGTCGCTCCAGTAAGTTCCTCTTATTTTCCTTGGTGGTGTTGGTAACAAACCTCACAGCAACAGATGCTTGTCGTAGCCTAACGACATCAGAACACAAGAAGACGTCTCAAAGTACATCTAATGTCTGCTCTGAGCAGAGTCAGGGGCCTTCAGTTTGAACAGGGAGTTTGAAAATAACAGGAAATGTAAAATGGTAACTAATCTCCTACCTGTTGAGGGCGTCCTGCGCTCCAGGTACTGCAGTGTCCTCTATGTGGAGAGTTCCACTGAGATCGATGAGCACAGCCTTCAGAGCCCGTCTCCCTGCCATTCTGGAGGTCTGAAGACAAACGCAACTGATTGAGAATGCTTAACAATTTGTTTCTGACCTATAAACAACAGTCAGTAATGATTTACTGATGACTGATTATTAAGCACCTCTGACCGTACAATAAGGTCACCAACTGGACCTTGGGAGCATTCTAGATAAACGTTAAGAACAGCTTAGACTCTGGGTTCAAATACTGATTTTTATCACAGCTAAAGATCACTATGGTCTCCTGCCCAGAATAAAAAGCTTATTCTCCTATTTATTATTTCAGAGATCCCATTTTATCATAATTCTCATCCGTAATGGCAGAGTTTATCAGATTATAGTGTTGATCAAAACCCACATTGGGACAAACTGGGAGGGGATTACTGACCCGTTTCATGTGTGGACTCCTGCCTGGAATCCAGATTTGTCTTTTATTATTAGTATTTGATTTTAAACTGTGATCCCCTATTATTTAGACATGCTTGGATTTCTGTCGTGTAGTTATCAGTCTGAAGCTGCAATTAATGCTCTTAATGCCCAACTAAAGATGACACGCACACAGACGTTTGATCAGGCACTATCTGTAATATTTGCCTTTATCTCATCTGATCAACTGAACCGTCAGGGAAATGTAAAGCTGAGAATAGGATTATGGTTTAATGTCCGTAAAAATCTCTGATATTGTCCGTTTGGGATATTTGATCAAATCAAATTCTGTTGTAAAGGTAATCATTTAGTTTGTTTATTTAGTTTTGTTTCTAGTTATATTCAGACACACTTTTTATGTAATTTAACTGAAGCCACAGCAGTGCTTTGGAAAAGAGTGTTCACATTTCTGGAATATTTTTTATATGTTCTGTGCAATGCAACCCTTATCCTTAGTGTATTTCACTGGGATTGATTTGTGACTGTGAAAAACAAAGTAATGCATAATTGCAAAGAGGAAAGAAAGGCATGAATTATCTTAAAGGTTTTCACTTGAATGCAATAAGAAATCAGGAGCGTAAATTTGAATTCAGCACATTCAATCTAAGACTTTAGAACCACCTTCTGCCACAGCTAAAAGTCTTCAGGAGGGTTAGGTGTGTACGTATCAAAACACAAATCCACTCTGATACATCGAATAACGATGAAAGTGCATTGAGCCAAAATGAAAACATCCTCTCAGAAATCTTTAAAATGCACTTTTATTTTGAACCTCAAAGGGCAGAAGACTAAAGTGAATAAGCTATTTATTTCTCACAATTATAGGAACGCTGATTTTTAATTAAAATTCTGATTCCTCTAAGAGCCTAGAAATTAAATTATCATTAAAAAGAAAATGTCAGATGCTATGAAATCATATCAATGACAGACATGAATTAAACAGAAGGGAAATTATTTCATGACAGACTGTCAGCGAACATGTTGTGATAAAGCTGCTAATTTACACTTTTAGCACCTCTCTGCTCGGTCTGAAAATCAATTCTCAAAATTTCTCAGTTAAATTTTCATTTGAACTCTTACACTACTTTACCATGAAAATATGTTGTGATCTAAATCCTTACATTATAGCTCTGATCCTATGCTTATTGTCCTGATAAAAGCTGAACCAATTCTTAAGTCTCCTTTGGTCTTTTCAGACTCTCCATCTACTCTGACCTGCTTTCCTGTCTGAAAAGCACCCCACAGCATGATGCTGCCACTTAAATAATTACCCTTGATGACAGTCTTATCAGGGTTTTGTGTTAAACTGCAAATAAGACTTTGCTTTCAATAATCCCTTTCTTGCTCTTGTTACTCTTTCATACTACTGTACTAATACTGTACTTGAGTAAAAGTACAGATACCTGTGTTAAAAAATACTCTGGTAAAAGTGGAAGTACTGATTAAACTTCTTTACTCAAGTAAAAGTAACAAAGTACAGGCTTGTAAATTTACTTAAAGTATAAAAGTAAAAGTAGAAACCACTTTTTTCATGCCGTTGCCTACATTTTAAATGGATGTCTGCCAATAGGACTAGATCTCCGTTGTGTTCATTTTCAATCATCTCGTCGTCCATACTACTATGCTAACGCCACCGCCACCAAGCTGCAATGATTTGCCGCGAATGAATACCGCCGAATCTGTCGATCCATCTTGTAGTGGTGCGTCAAATGCAATGTAGATTCCCATCCAATTAGAATTAATATGGTATTGATTATGTGAAAAATAATAACGGTAACTCCATTGAAATGATTCAAAACTAAAGTAACGAGCCAATTTTTTAAAATGTAAGGAGTAGAAAGTACAGATATTTGTGTAAAAATGTAAGGAGTAGAAGTAAAAAGTCGCCATAAAAATAAGTAGTAAAGTAAAGTAAAAATATCAGAAAAATCTACTTGAGTACAGTAACAAAGTATTTGTACTTCGTTACTTCCCATCTCTGTTCATAACAGCCACAAAGGGATGGTAGCTCTGGCTTGGATCAACGTTCTCCTTGCCCAGCCTCTCAGTGTAGATGGGTTGCTACTTGTTGAGGTCGTGAACGAGCCAACCTACTTATATGTTTAGAAACTGGGATGTGCAATTCTCTGCTAGAGATATGGATATTATATAAAAAAAAACTGACCATGTATTATTATAATTATTTTTTTTTGTCACCATAGTTTGAGTCATTCATCTCATATTGTGACCATAATGAAACTTTCCGTTAGCTGTAAATATACTGAAGTTTGTTTTTAAATGGACTAAATGTGGAAAGGTTGGAGGGGTGTGCATCATCTAACAAAGCACTGTCTTCAAATCACTTTTCAATCGGTCAAATCTATTGAAAATGTTGAGGTGAAAAACATTAATTTACCATTCAATTAAAAAAAGTTTGCATATAAGAAAATGTTAAAGAAACTGATTTTTAATACAGAAAAAGTCAATTTAATGTAACTGCTCTGCAGTATTTGTATTATAAAAAGATTATCCCCTCAGTTTGTTTTAGAATAATTCAATAAATCAATAAACTAAAACCATAAATACATAATATACAACCTAATATCAGCAATTCAAGCACTAAAAAGATGAAATTAAAAATTATAATTTTATTATCAACCCTGCATCAAAGTTCTTATATGTCTCCTACAATAAAAATATATCTGATTTAATCCTCTCTTGCAAACACATCGGTTTAATCAGAAAGTAGTTCCGAAACCGATGTTAAAAACTAAGATTAAAAAAACACACACAAAATGCTTCCTTAACCTTACTGCAGAAGATCTCTTCCTTCTTCTTCTTCTTCTTCTTATGAGATTTTATGGCGGTTGGCAGACTTGTGAATTGTGCATTACCGCCACCAACTGATATGGAGTAAAGCAAGAAAACAGGAAACGATTCACCCCCCCCCCCCCAAAAAAAAAAAAAAAAAAAAAAAAAAAAAAAAAACCTGTGTAACTTAAACCAACATAATACTAAATCACATTTGCCCATATAATTTTAATTTACTCTAGGTCATCGTAATTCTGCCAGTTTCTGATGGTCCCATCGGTCCTCCCATCATGCTTCCAACCATCTCCCAGTTCAAATCTTTAATGTCCAGATATTTTTCTGCAGCCTTCACTATTATTTTGATTTTTTCAGTTTTTTTTGTTGTCTGTGCAGTACAATTAATCACTTCTACCATGAAAAGAACAAAATTTGTCTTTTTAACAATTAGTGAGTCTTCATCAATTTTTGGAGATTTCTCTAGAGGTTTGGAATTTGCTGTGTGTTGAACTGTAGGTTTGGGTTTTTCTGACTGAGATGGGATCCTTTTTGCAGCTTCAGCGTAGGTTATTCCGAGCTCAAATTTCATTTTTTTAATTTCCTCAGACCTTTTGCTTGCTTCACAGCCGCGATAAGCAGCAGTATGTTCTCCACCACAATTACAGCATTTTATTTTAGCTTCTTTTCCACATTTTCCGTACTCATGTTCTCCTGCACACCTTCCACACCTCTGTTTCCCTTTACAAACTGCTGCAATGTGACCGAATTTTTGGCATTTGAAACATCTCAATGGTGGAGGATTGTAGATTTTGACATTATAGCTTATGTAACCGATGAATACTTTGCTTGGTAATTGCTCTTCTTCGAATTTAATTAACACCGATAAACTGTCAGATCTTTCTCCGTTTCTTGTTGTTTTTAACCGTTTTACTTCTTTTACTTTTGCACCGCTTATGTTTTCCAGAATCTCTTTTTCAGAAATTTTTAGAGGAACTCCTCCAATGACTCCCCTGCTGATCTTTTTGTTCTCCATTAGGCTGCACTGAACTCTTATCCCGTCAATTTTGTTGATACGTATTGCTTTGCCTTGCTGGGCGCTGTCTCTGCAGTTAATTAGCAGGTCTCCACTGTACAGAATTCTGGCACCTCTGACTTCTCCGACAAGTTTATTGATGGTTTTTGTTAAGTGAACCGGATTCCAATTTGTAAAAGAGTCTGCCTGATTAACGACTTTGAATATGACTTTGAATTCATTTTGTTGTGCTGTGGAATGTATGGATTGATCATCACTGGATTGTTCTGAACTAGATTCCCCTTTAACTGATCTCTGTTTTTTCCGCTTTTTCTCATTTTTTGATGTTGCTATCTTCCAACCTTCATTGTCACTATTTCCTTCTTCCATCCCACAAGAATCGCTTCCTGTTTCCTCACTACTCACGGCCCAGGACATCTCTCCACAGGCAGCTTCAAAACACGCGCCATGCACCACCGGCCTGGTTCCGTGGTTGTCTACCCCAGATCTCTTCCTTCTTCCTGTTGATCTTTCTTCTTCGTCTGTTTTCAGCTGCTCACTGCTGCCACCAGCAGTTTGGATACAGAAACAACAGCTAAAGGTAAAAATCAAGACCTTTTAGTCATAGACTTTATCCTACTAACCAACACATGATGAAATATATTAAAACAATGAACCCTAACTGTTTTATTGTAAGTTTAGCAAAGAGAATCCAGAAAATATTATATAATTTCAATTTTGACACCTAATTTTCTCTAAGGTATGATTGAAAGTCAAACAAATAAATCGTACATTCAGCAATATACAGGTGCTGGTCATAAAATTAGAATATCATGAAAAAGTAGATTGATTTCAGTAATTCCATTTAAAAAGTGAAACTTGTATATTATATTCATACATTACATACAAACTCATATATTTCAGATGTTTATTTTGTTTAATTTTGATGATTACAAATAACAACAAATGAAAATCTCAAATTCATCATATCAGAAAATTAGAATATTGTGAAAAGGTTCAAAATTGATGGCCCCTGGTGCCACACTCTAATCAGCTAATTAACTCAAACCACCTGCAAAAGCCTTTAAATGGTCTTTCAGTCTAGTTCTATAGGCTACACAATCATGGGGAAGACTGCTGACTTGACAGTTGTCCAAAAGACGACCATCGACACCTTGCACAAGGAGGGCAAGACACAAAAGGTCATCGCTAAAGAGGCTGGCTGTTCACAGGGCTCAGTGTCCAAGCACATTAATAGAGAGGCGAAGGGAAGGAAAAGATGTGGTCGAAAAAAGTGTACAAGCAAGAGAGATAACCGCACCCTGGAGAGGATTGTGAAACAAAACCCATTCAAAAATGTGGGGGAGATTCACAAAGAGTGGACTGCAGCTGGAGTGAGTGCTTCAAGAACCACCACACACAGACGTATGACAGACATGGGTTTCTGCTGTCGCATTCCTTGTGTCAAGCCACTCTTGAACCACAGACAGCGTCAGAAGCGTCTTGCCTGGGCTAAAGAGAAACAGGACTGGACTGCTGGTGAGTGGTCCAAAGTCATGTTCTCTGATGAAAGTAAATTTAGCATTTCCTTTGGAAATCAAGGTCCCAGAGTCTGGAGGAAAAGAAGAGAGGCACTTCATCCACGTTGCTTGAAGTCCAGTGTAAAGTTTCCACAGTCAGTGATGGTTTGGGGTGCCATGTCATCTGCTGGTGTTGGTCCATTGTGTTTTCTGAGGTCCAGGGTCAACGCAGCCACATACCAGGAAGTTTTAGAGCACTTCATGCTTCCTGCAGCTGACCAACTTTTTGGAGATGCAGATTTCATTTTCCAACAGGACTTGGCACCTGCACACAGTGCCAAAGCTACCAGTACCTGGTTGAAGGACCATGGTATCCCTGTTCTTAATTGGCCAGCAAACTCTCCTGACCTTAACCCCATAGAAAATCTATGGGGTATTGTGAAGAAGAAGATGCAATACACCAGACCCAACAATTCAGAAGAGCTAAAAGCCACTATTAGAGCAACCTGGGCTATCATAACACCTGAGCAGTGCCACAGACTGATCGACTCCATGCCACGCCGCATTGCTGCAGTAATACAGGCCAAAGGAGGCCCAACTAAATACTGAGTGCTGTACATGCTCATACTTTTCATGTTCATACTTTTCAGTTGGCCAACATTTCTATAAATCCTTTGTTTTTATTGGTCTTCAGTAATATTCTAATTTTCTGATATGATGAATTTGAGATTTTCATTTGTTGTCATTTGTAATCATCAAAATTAAACAAAATAAACATCTGAAATATATGAGTTTGTATGTAATGTATGAATATAATATACAAGTTTCACTTTTTAAATGGAATTACTGAAATCAATCTATTTTTTCATGATATTCTAATTTTATGACCAGCACCTGTAATTGTTCATCACCTTCACCCTTTTTCAAAGTTTTGGTTAAGAAAATTGAAATCTATATACCTACCATTTCCAAGAGTACAAATAAAAAAGCTGTGATCATATATACATGTTTTTGATCACTGAAAATTGTTGTTTTACCCCTTGCATACTTTTACATATTCTGTGTTCTGCAGATTAGATCGTGAATCTTCGCACACTTTTAAATAATTAGATGGAAAGTCAGAAAAAAAAAAAATGTTTGCTTCACAAATGTTTTGTAGCAATCGAAATGGTTCAATGTGATTTTTGGGGTCAAATTATTATCTAAAAGCAATAAGCACAATTTTTTATAATTTGGCACATTTGGAGAATAAATTTAATACGATGACATATGCTTTCTATAAAGCTTGCCTTTCTTACTGCTATTCAAAAAATGCCTTTTATTTTTGAGAATTAAAAAAACAGCTTTTAGTCCTGTTTTAAATGATGCAGGTTAGGCTGTGTTTTAGTCTTTCACTCGTCTTTCATTTATATTTTCAAAATGTAGAAAGTGTTAGTCTTCAAATGATGTATCACACATGTAACTTGGGCCAAAAGTTCCCTAGTTATTTCCTTTTCCATTTAGGAATGCAAAAAAGGCGAGGATTACTTAAAGCGAGGTGGATGTTAATGTTTTCTCCCTGGGATCGAATGTAACGCTGTGCAGGGTTGCCTGAATGGGAAGGTTTTCATTTCATTGGGCTTTTATTGGACATTAGGGGCTTGAAAATATACTTTTGAGTGGGTTGTTAAAATATGAACAGCCTTTCACAACATTTGGCAGGTTTTTAAAAGTATAAATTGGAAAATTATATCCCAGTAGTTGTTATTGTTCAGTGGAAACATTAAAAACTTACACATTTCAACAAATGTGATTTTACTTTGTTAAGCTTTAACTTGATGTTGGAGGACAGGATCATGCTGAAGTAGGAAAATAAAAAAAAGTATCCAGAAAGCTAACATGATTTGAGGATGACTGCAGGAGGTCTTCAAGTCTTGTTCCTTTTCTTATTATACAGAAATTGTTGCCATTTCTATGATCTTAAATAACTAATGCCACAAAATGAAATATATTTGTGTTTCAAGTAGGGTTGTAAATAATATAAGTTTTGTATTGATGCATCGATCCAAGAGCTGACGATCCGATGCATCGACATGTCCACAAGAGTATCGATTCAGTTTTTTTTTCCTCCGGTCTACTTTTATCCATTTGCTCCCGAACGTAAGTCTAACTCCCGTGCTGCGGTGGCGCTAAACCTATTTTGCCCTCCTACCTCGCTTCCTTTAGCCATTACCCTCTTTCCACTTGCACACACACACACTCTCATAAACACAGAGGCTTTATTATTTTTCATTGAATGAGGTATTCATAGGCCTAGGTGGAGAACACTTTGCTACTTCTATCATTTGCTGTTGTTTCTCAAATAAAATTCATAACGATGTTACAGCTTTCACTGATTTATTTAAAACATTGTCAAGCCTGTAAGGTTAAAATTTTTTTTTACCAATTAATCGAATCGTATCACGGTGTATTCTTGAGTATCGGAAATAATCGATTTGTTGGGTCAGGAAATTGGTACTGAATCGAATCGCCATGATGGGTGTGATTTACACCCCTAGTTCCAAGTGTCAAGTTTTCTGCAATCGAACCAGGTACTTGCAACCTTCTCAGAGCACAAGTGCACTGCTCTAGCCACTAGGCCAGCACTCCCCACTACACTCCACTCCACTCCACAATTTCAAGTATTGTGGTTAATTTTGTCTAAGCACCATTAGTGATTCTATAATTCTGACTTGTCAATGAGTTAATTATGTCGTTCATGAGTGATTCATTCAAACAAACAAACAAACAGTGTGAATTAACTTAATCAAATCATGATCATTAGCTGATTTATTAGTCTCTCACTTCAGTTAAAGTCAGTCCAAGCAGGTCAAGAGTGGAACTTCCATGTTTTTTTGACATATACTGTAATGGCATCTGTTACTTCAAGGTAACACCTAAAATTAAGGAACAGAATAAATAAAATACAGTAAATCCCTACATTTGTTTCAGAAAGGCTCAGTCCCTTGTTCACCTCGATTGCTATGTGTCTCTGCTGCCTTTTGGTTAAATCTGACATGAAAAAAAAAGCTGGTTTATGTAGTTTGGGTTTAAACTGTTAATAAAGACTTTAAATTCTGATGTGACTTTTGTTCACTTTCTGTGTTGCTAATGTTGACACTCTTCTATTCTACAGCCTGAAACAAAGCAGGACACAAACATGCAAATTCGGCACTATAGTGACATCTTCTATCAACTTTAGGGACAGCCAATCTCGTGAGGAGCTGGCAACAGAGGCTGAAAGATGAAAAAGTTGTTTTTTTTTTTTTTTGGGCAGATTTTATTTTTAGGTTGCATCCTTTTGCGCCTTCATACAGCCGTCCTTGTATAGCACCCACTCACAGCTGTGGGTTTATTTCAGGCATCCTGCTGTGGATTCTCTGCTGCAGGGCCTACAGTAGATCCCAAGTCATTAACAGCCCTGCTCCCAAAGCAAACACTGGTTACTACGGTATGTTTGTTCTTGTTAGAAAATCTGATCATATGTATTGATATATGAAAATAGACTAAACTCTGTTCATACACTCTCCATCACAAATATGGCCTCAACAAGTACATATAAAAACTCATCTGATCTCTGTGTAAAGTGGTACCGCTCCATGCTAACGCTTGAATTATCTTGCATTGTACAGCTTGTTGAATTAAAACTCTTATTTGACTACGTTTTCATATATTATTGCTGTTATTTTCCCCCAATAACGTATTTGTAATCAGTTAAGAGGGTTAGTCTTAATCACATAATCACCCGGTGGAATAATAAAGAACATATGTGTCCCATCAAACTAACAACTAACAGATGCATCGCATTAGTTGGTCTTTTAGATTTAACATAGATGGGGGTATTATCTTGGCGATAAAAAATATTCCCCTACATGATGCCAGACAACATTGATCCAATCCTCTTTTTATCCTATATCCAGAGTGAATAACACAGTTGTTTTTCACCGCTTATTTTTTTATATTATTGCAGTTTGTTTCCTTATACAGGATGTTGGGGAAATAATCTCACTGCTATGTTATTTGTTTTGGTCAAATATAGTAAATGAAATCATGTTTATTATTTTTTCTTTTTTTGTGAATTGTTTTGCTTCTGATTAACACATCATTTTTAATGCAGGAATTCCCTCGTACCATATATCAATCGGTAATGTTTTTTCTGTTTAGTTTTTTTTCTTAAAAGACTTAACAAAGGTTAGAAAAGCTCTAAATATTTAATTAGAACATTTCTCTTAGAGATTTATTTGGAGTTGAATTGAACTCTGCTTGAAGCTCTCAATTACATTTCTTTTTTAATCATAATACTGATTTTGAAAATATAAAACTAAATGTAATAATAATCATTCATGTCTCATTTTATAATTGAAACATTATAAAATTATAATGTTTTTATAATGTTTCAACCATACAGGTGCTGGTCATAAAATTAGAATATCATGAAAAAGTAGATTGATTTCAGTAATTCCATTTAAAAAGTGAAACTTGTATATTATATTCATACATTACATACAAACTCATATATTTCAGATGTTTATTTTGTTTAATTTTGATGATTACAAATGACAACAAATGAAAATCTCAAATTCATTATATCAGAAAATTAGAATATTGTGAAAAGGTTCAAAATTGATGGCCCCTGGTGCCACACTCTAATCAGCTAATTAACTCACAAACCACCTGCAAAAGCCTTTAAATGGTCTTTCAGTCTAGTTCTATAGGCTACACAATCATGGGGAAGACTGCTGACTTGACAGTTGTCCAAAAGACGACCATCGACACCTTGCACAAGGAGGGCAAGACACAAAAGGTCATCGCTAAAGAGGCTGGCTGTTCACAGGGCTCAGTGTCCAAGCACATTAATAGAGAGGCGAAGGGAAGGAAAAGATGTGGTCGAAAAAAGTGTACAAGCAAGAGAGATAACCGCACCCTGGAGAGGATTGTGAAACAAAACCCATTCAAAAATGTGGGGGAGATTCACAAAGAGTGGACTGCAGCTGGAGTGAGTGCTTCAAGAACCACCACACACAGACGTATGAAAGACATGGGTTTCTGCTGTCGCATTCCTTGTGTCAAGCCACTCTTGAACCACAGACAGCGTCAGAAGCGTCTTGCCTGGGCTAAAGAGAAACAGGACTGGACTGCTGGTGAGTGGTCCAAAGTCATGTTCTCTGATGAAAGTAAATTTTGCATTTCCTTTGGAAATCAAGGTCCCAGAGTCTGGAGGAAAAGAAGAGAGGCACTTCATCCACGTTGCTTGAAGTCCAGTGTAAAGTTTCCACAGTCAGTGATGGTTTGGGGTGCCATGTCATCTGCTGGTGTTGGTCCATTGTGTTTTCTGAGGTCCAGGGTCAACGCAGCCACATACCAGGAAGTTTTAGAGCACTTCATGCTTCCTGCAGCTGACCAACTTTTTGGAGATGCAGATTTCATTTTCCAACAGGACTTGGCACCTGCACACAGTGCCAAAGCTACCAGTACCTGGTTGAAGGACCATGGTATCCCTGTTCTTAATTGGCCAGCAAACTCTCCTGACCTTAACCCCATAGAAAATCTATGGGGTATTGTGAAGAAGAAGATGCAATACACCAGACCCAACAATTCAGAAGAGCTAAAAGCCACTATTAGAGCAACCTGGGCTATCATAACACCTGAGCAGTGCCACAGACTGATCGACTCCATGCCACGCCGCATTGCTGCAGTAATACAGGCCAAAGGAGGCCCAACTAAATACTGAGTGCTGTACATGCTCATACTTTTCATGTTCATACTTTCAGTTGGCCAACATTTCTATAAATCCTTTGTTTTTATTGGTCTTCAGTAATATTCTAATTTTCTGATATGATGAATTTGAGATTTTCATTTGTTGTCATTTGTAATCATCAAAATTAAACAAAATAAACATCTGAAATATATGAGTTTGTATGTAATGTATGAATATAATATACAAGTTTCACTTTTTAAATGGAATTACTGAAATCAATCTACTTTTTCATGATATTCTAATTTTATGACCAGCACCTGTACTTACTTAGTACTTGATGAGGAAGATGTAACAATCGCTCCCTTCCAGCATCTTCTGACATGCAGATGGTGAAAATCAAAACCAGGTCCAATGTTTTCCGTAAAAGTTCAAAAAAATCCACTGGACTTGGTTTCCAAGATTTGAAGATGTTTCGCTACCTCTCCAGGAAGCTTTCTCAATTCAAATGTCTTCCTGGAGAGGTAGGAAAACGTCTTCAAATCTTGGAAACCAAGTCCAGTGGATTTTTTTGAACTTTTACGGAATGACTATGACCTGGATGACTCAGAATCTTCATCAGCAGGTTCAATATGCTGCAACGTAGTTTTGAGACAAAATCTAATAGGATGCCGGAGCGCGCTATCTGTCATATGCTGTACTTATTCCATGTGCTTTTATGTAGTTCCCACAGGCCTGAGAGTTTTAAAATACAGTTCTTTTTTTAAACAACAATCTTAAAAGTGTTGAATCACATCCAGACTGCAGAGGAGCTGAACAGCCACTTTAGTAACAGACTTAAACACCACATGTGTAAAAAGGAGAACTACCGCAGGTCATTCATTCATCCCTGCTGCCATCAGACTTTACAACACCACTGCACCATGACCTGGTGTAATAACACTGCAATAACTTATACTATTTATTTAACAAACCAGAAACCGCACTTTACCTGCCACCACTTTACTGTACATAAGTCACCTTAAACCTCTCCGTTATTTTTTACCATCCACTGTATACATCTGGATGCACTGTGTATACTTCATGCACCTTTTCCTACTTTGTGGGCCTTCTGTTTTGTTTGTTTATAAGAGCCTATGTCATAAGTAAATTTTTTGCATTGTGAGATCAATAAAGTTCTATTCTATTCAATTGCAAATACAGCTACATCTCTGTCCTTGTGTCTCTACCAGCTTTGTGCATCTTAAGATAAACACTTTTGACCATTTTTCTAAGTAATATAAATTCATTTTTTTTAAATAATAGAGAAAATGTTCATAATAGTTTTGGAGTCTTATGAAACCTGAAACTGAGCCCTTCTAACAGGTTAGCTATCAGGGCGGCCCAATATTTAGCTCCAAATATCTTGTTATTTTCCATCCCATCACATAATACTGTTACCTCAATGTTTCAGAGGGGCTGGTGCACATTTTCTGAACATCAGCTGTGTGATCCGATTAAATTATCTCTGTAAAGTGCCTTGAAATGACTCCTGTTGTGAATTGGTGCTATATAAATAAACTGAAAAAATTATGAACATGTGTAGTGTTAGTATCCTACCAGAGCACTAAATGTAATGGTAAAGGGTGAGAAAAGTCAGGAATGTTTAAATCTTATTTTATAAGCTCCCTAATCTCAGGAAATTTAAACATCGGTGTGTCCGATACAGAGAGACACACCGACGCAGTTAAAATGAGCAAAATCATTCATCTGAAGGTAGAATTTATTTAAAAGAAAACCCACTCAATGTTTGTGGCATTGAAAAGGTATGAAGTATGTTTTTAGATGCTTTTCAAATCCATATATTTAATAGAATATGATATTGATAGGTTAATGTAACAGGTAGCAAAAGTTAATGTATTACACAGAACTAATAGTTTAATTGCTCTTTCATTGTGCATCATTTAAGCACCACTTAAAGCTTTCCAAAACATGTCACATGCCCTTTAAATCACCCCTCCAAACAGACAGAATAAGTAGTTTCAAGATGAAGTGAAATTAATCTTAAAAACAGCAAGTTAAAGGCATTGTTTGTTTTTTGATCTTTTTGTGGATGTGAGCAGGTGAGGAAGTCATCGCCATCCATCTTTTTTGACAAGGTGATTAATCAAAACCTCTTCCTTTGAGCGCGTTTTCTTGCTTTACTGTCTTTCTTTTGCAGCCAGTGGTTTTTCCGCTCTGCTGCTGGGGGACAGCAACAGAGATCTTTAAGAGGAGTACAAATTGTTCAGAGTGTGAGGTCGAATTTTTAAAGATGCTCCTTTTTTCAGTTCATCTGTAAGGTTTGGTGGTCAACCAAACAGCAGCAACAGGACGATGCACGATGAGTTCACAATTATCAGGGGCACTGTGAAAAAACAGAGAGCAGGAGAAAATAGTTAATCTTTAATTAAATCTATCTATCTATCTATCTATCTATCTATCTATCTATCTATCTATCTATCTATCTATCTATCTATCTATCTATCTATCTATCTATCTATCTCCCTTCTTTGGGAAAATGGGTTTTATACTGAATAATATAAAGAAAGTGGGGCACAGAATGTTTTAAGCCTAACAAAGATAAAACGTCCCATTAATAGATCCTCACACTGACTGTTAGGTAAATTGATGTGAGACTCATGATTTAGGGGTCAGCTCACCATTATGGAATCCACCATGAATATTACTATTTTACAGGGTGCATAAGGGAAATGTAAGACCATGAAAAAACTACAAATACCTGAAACAGAAGTCTGCAACATAATTGACCCCAAACACACAAGAGTGTTAAATAGAAAAGCAAAGCCCTTAAGTCTATTCCTCAGATACTTTAGGGTGCCTTGAAACAGGCTCTACATGAAAGAAACCCCACAAACACATATGGGTGGCAAACTTCTTTCTTAAGTTATAATTCATATTTATTCTACCATCATGCTTTTTGCTACTTAAACAAAAATTAGGTGTGGTTTACGGACTTCCTATTCCACATTAGAATATATTGACAAGCAGTCGAATGGAGAGCAGTGCAGAGTGCGCTCCTAAAGACCTTCTATGACTGTTGTAGCATCAGCCTTCTTCTATGGAGCTGTCTGTTGGAGCAGTGGCTAATCTCTAGCTGAGAGAAAGCAGCTGGATAAGCTGATCAGGAAGGCCAGCTCTGTGATTGGATGCCCTCTGGACTCAGTGGATTCTAACTAAACTAACATCTCTGTTGGATAATATCTCCCACCCCATGCAGGAAGCTGTTGCAGAACTGGAGAGCTCCTTCAGTGACAACCTGCTGCACCCTAAATGCACCAGGAAGCGTTATCACAGATCCTTCCTCCCAGCAGCTGTAAGACTCTATAACCATCGCTGTTCCCAACAACCTCGATAAGTTGTTACATTTATGCTGATTTTTGCAGTTTTTATCTTAGTTAAATAACATGCTGCTGTAATTTTGCACATCTCTGATGTTGCTGCTATTTTTAAAAATCCATAAAAATATCCATAGCTGTACATTGGTTATTTATTCTCTAGGTGCACTGTTTTTTTTATATTGTTTTTATTTGTTTATTTTTTAACTCTTCACTATAATGTTATTCTTATATATTTTTCTAAGGTCCACATTGGTGTGACCATTTTTTTCTTTTATCTTTTTGCTGCTGTGGGACAATTAAGGATTTTCTATTCTATTCTATTCTATTCTATTCTATTCTATTCTATTCTATTCTATTCTATTCTATTCTATTCTATTCTATTCTATCAATTTCCTGTGAATTAAAAATATTAAGACCAATTCTTATTTATTTAGATGCACTAAATAGTTTTGCAGTGTAGTTGAAGCCATGGATGCACCACCTCTCATGACGGTCCGAACTGATCGGATGAGATTCAGTATCTGAGCTTTGACTCCTGGATCATCCCCGAAACCTCCAACTCCCTGATCAGCACCCCATCCCACTAGAAACACACACAGAGAAAGAAAATATACTAATAAACATATCCGTAGTTTGATTCAAACTCTTTAAATATCTGCTCATCATGTTATTCACAGACTGAGTGATGATGAGACACATTTAAAGTCTTTTTAATTCACATGAACGCTTACTTTTGCTGAGAAACCTTTCTTCATGCAACACGGCGATGGCATTGATGCATAGAATAGCGGTCTGGATGAGGGTGTAAAGAGTAAACGCCATGCTGGCAACTCCTGTTTTAGCCCCGCCCTCTTCTCTATCGTCATCGTGTACGCGGGACATCGCAGCCGTAAAGAAATGGTAAATGTCGGGAAGCCGCGCAAGCTGTAGTTTTTGTAGTTCAACGTCTCTCCCTTTTTTACAAAGTAACCTGTGATGTTCGGTGCATTAGAAACAGGAGCGGAGCTAGATGGGGGGCCACTGGTGGCCACTCTTAGCCATTAATTTGCCACCCCTACCATTTCCCCCCCTCTAATAAAGATGGTGGCAGCAGTAGTACTCTCAAGTGGAATTTTCATTTTAATTTTTCAGATATTACTTACTATTTTTTAATGTATTCATAATTTCTTGACAACAAAAACACTGTGGTTAATTATACACAGCAATTCATTCAGAATTCATGTTCTTTTCAGAACTAGATTTCGTGTTATATGGGGTAGAGAGAAATGTATGTGTCTCTGAAAGGCCTGTTTTCCAGTGTAGTCCTGTTTCTCTGACTGTGGCTGGCTGGATGTGCTCTCTTCATCCTCTGACATGGGAGCTGGCTTGGAGCTCATCTGCCTGGTGTGTTTCCTGGACCGGGCCGCCTTATACAGCTGCTTTTTGTATCTCTGCTTCTGTCTCCTTGAACTCCAGTCTGCCTTGGCAGATGGCCGCTCACACTGAGCCTGGTTCTGCTGGAGGTTTCTTCCTGTTAAAAGGGAGTTTTTCCTCTCAACTGTCGCTACAAGCATGCTTAGTGTGAGGGATTGCATTTGAGTAAATGAGTGGATGCAATCAACTGGTTTTCCTTAGAAAACTTTGAATCAATTGACTGTATGATCTGGTGAACTGTAAAATGCCTTGAGATGACATGTGTTGTGAATTGGCGCTATATAAATAAACTCAATTAAATTTAAATCATAAATAACTATGTTAATAAAAATGTATTAAATAGTTGAATTATGTAGATATTAGTACTTGTAAATATCAATTTTATGCAGAAGGATTATCAATAAAAGTAGGTCAATAATGAGAATTGAAAAGATGTTCGCCCCAGAACTCAAACCTGAAAGAATTGTATCCACTATACCTTTTATCTAGAAAGCATGGATGTTTAAATATATGCGTCTATTTGTTAGCAAAGGATGTAGGAAAGTATAGTTAGTCTTATCTTTGGCTTGACCCTTACATTCTGGTGCCTATCCACTTTCGGCCACCTCTCAGTGTACATTGGTTATTGCCCGGCCACCCTTAAAAAAAAAATTATGGCTACGCCTCTGATTAGAAACACACATCTTCCTGCTAAAATATAATTGATTAGTTCCATAGAGTGTTTCCCAACATTTTTTTACTTCTGTACCCCTTTGAGTATTTTTACCATGAATACCACCCTCAGTCAAAAGTATTAATGATTGTGCAAAAATGTAACATACTGGTAACTAATAATCGAATATGAATTAAAACATAATTTTAACTAATCTTAAAATTTGAGCATTTAATACTGGAGCTCCTCAGAGTAACTCTCTTATAAACACATTTAAACTCAATGAATTGGGAACAAAATACAAACATATATATATATATATATATATATATATATATATATATATATATATATATATATATATATATATATATATATATATATATATATATATATATATATATATATATAATTTGTTTTCATCTGTTTTCATCCAGACACCTGAACTGCTTTGATGAGCTCTGAAAAACAGCCGATCCCAGGCTGTTCTCTACATCCATTCTGTTCCTCGGTTTTGATGTGTGTCACAGCCGAAGGTAAACTCAAACATATAAGAAAAAATTACTTTTTGGTTAATACAAGCTTGTTTAATTTTTCAATTGGCTCCTCACAAATCAAAACAGATCCCAGCCCTGTTTTATTTTACTATCTAAAAAATGAAATATTTTCATGTAGACCCTACCCCTAGCAATGTACTCACGGACCTATGAGTACCCCTGAATGGGACCCACTGCCTTAGATGAAAAGTTTGTTAGTTTTTCTTGTTTTTAGATTATGGGCAGCCAGCTTACTTTGCTGTTTAACTGTTTAAGTTAACGTTTTAATCTGAGGCTTGTCATTTAAACCATTTTGGGAAGGATTATAATAAAACAAAAACAAAAATTGTGTGCTCAAGTTTAATATCCTTGTGGGATAGGAGGATGGTAATTCACTCAGATAGGCTATTTTTACAGAGCCTCTTTGAAAGTTTTAGAGAAGACATTTTTTGCGAGCAAGGTGGTATGATAATTTTGGATGGACATGATTTGGCACTGTCCACATATTCTCAACAGCTTTGAGGTCAGAGCAAACTTTATCCACCTGCATCCATTTCAAAGCCAGTTGACTGTTGCTGGGTTGAAATGTGCCATTGTGTCCAACTTCCAAACATCAGATCTGCTACCTTAAATAAAAAAATCAAAATTTGCCAGGTTTGGGGACCAAGTCCTAAAAAAAGATTGCTAGTCTTACAAAATAAAATTTCCACACAGATTTTTTTTTTTCGTATAGACATTTTTATCTACACATAGTAGAGAAACTACAAGAACATTTGAAATACATCTGCATTAACAGGTTATAATAATAACATATCAGTAGATGTGAAATTCATCAACTCATTTTATAAACAAGGTGAAGGAGATGTAATTTGTAATTTTTATTTTTTTTACATTTAAATGCACCATCTTGTCATCATTGCTATTGATTATCTTACATTGCTAAAATTTATAATAAACAGAATTGTATACTTAAATTTTAAATAAACAAACACATAAAAAGACTGTATGGTTCAATACTCTTATGTGGAACAATTTATACAGTTAGGGGAGGTAATGTACAAAAAGATACACAACAATAATGAACTGCGGTCTTCTCCTGAGGCCATGCACAAAGTAGGATCTCTGAGAAGGCCTTAAATTGTCCGTAAAACATCTATAAACTGATGATATCATAATACTTTAACTTAAAGTGAATGTGAAAGGGAATTTTTCAATTGCCTAAAATTCTGAATTTGTGTCTTCAAGCAAAAATATAGCTGCTGTAAATTCATACAGAAACACAATGACAGTTAATGAATCATAATTTTAAGAAAATTATGTCTTTAAAATAAAATTTCTAAAATGTTAGGACAGATGTGATACACTGGGTATTTAAACAGGAAGTTTCATCTGCGATGAATATAATACTTGCTGTTTTTTTTTTTTTTGTACACCAAATCGATACTGTACAATGTTCTTTCAGCATGTAAAACCTTATAAGGGATTTCAGAATTTGACATTTTTATTCTTTATTTTGTTCCCCACCTTCCTCAGACATCAGTCCAAACTTCTGGGGTAACATGAATTTGCTGATAAGTGGTGGTAACGATCATTGGTACAAAAGGGTCGTAGGTCAACATGCCGAGAAGAATCCGTTTTGGATCAAGTGTTGCTAAATTTTCTCTCTCTGACTGAGGATACCGATGCCACGGCAGTCCTGGGCATTAGGCCAACAGCAGTGAGAGTCACAGTCATTCAGCATTTTTTTATTTTTTCCACAGCTTGTTGATCTTTACAGCCTCTGTCCAGGTGTTTGCTTTGGTCCTGCTTGCAATAACAAAATGCCAAGTATGAGCCCATGTTTTTCCAGACGCTTTAAGTGGAGTCCATTTGGAAACAAAACTTAAGCGAGAGTTGGTCATCTTTTACCAACACTGTAGTACAAAAGTAGCATGAAGTCTCCCAAATGACTTTTAAACAACTGAAAGAATGAGCTAAATCGTTACTGTCCTTTGGAAATGCAAGAAAGATGTGATATATACAGTTTATTTGCTACTTAGTGAGAGGAAATATGTGACTTCCACAAGCAGCTTGGTCTTCGTCCTGAAAGCAACGACTCCTGTGAATGAAGAAATTAACAATTTAGATAAATATTATTTTAGTAGTTTTAAACATGACTTTGGCATTTTCGAATGCTGATGGAGGCTCTGATAGTGAACAATACCAAACATCAAAGGCTTTGATGTTGAGTATGACTTGGTCACCAATATTTATTTAACTAATGTAACAGCTTTTATGTATTGCAAAGGTATTCCTACCCCTTAAACTATAAACCCAAAATGTATGAGTTGGGATTTATTTTATTCACTCATAGAAGTAAGACCGATAAATCATTTTAATTTATGTGACTTCCCTGGCTTTTCATTTTAAAGCGAACTAATGTCTCTGTATATGGTTTGTGCTCTTTGTTCCTGTTCCAGCTTTTGGAGCGGAAAGAAAAGCATAGGGTTTTAAAAACCATTTTAGGGATATAATTTCAAAAAAAGAATGTTTATTTTTATTTAACCCCTTATAATAACACCACAAAGAAAAACCAATAAGTAAACTCTGTAATTTCTCTGCAGTATAGATATAGCTGCTCTGTGAGGCCTCAGAGGTTTGTTAGAGATCATTAACAAACATTAACAAGATGATGTGTGCAGGTAAATTAAACCAAAATGAAACTGTTTTGATCGCATGGCTGTGACTATCATTTTTTTCATTTTTAATTTTGTTTAGCAGGTGCAGAGGAAATACTTGTTAATGAGAAGATTAACAGCTGAAAATTGAAGGAGACCTGATCAGTAATATCAATAAGTTAATTGGAATCAAGTTACCTTTTCAGCTACTTGCTAAGATGAGAGCTGATCTTTTCCTTTCTGATGATATTTGCGTAGGGAATCTGGAAGACAAATAAAGAACCAATTAATCAAATCTTTTTACTATAAATACTGGTTATAGAAACAAAGTTTAAAATCTCTGCTTTACCTTATTTTTAACAATATCATAGTTTCAAAGACAATAAAAAAAATTTTAATTAATTAAACATCATACATAAATAATACATTTGTAAAGTTCATTTGAATATCTATGCGAAATTAATGTCTCATTACTCTCAGACTTCATCTGCTGCTTCTAGACACATTTGTCAGTTACCGTGCATACGTGCCTTAGCGCACTCACAAATGCTCGCAAATGAGCATAAAATCTGTTGTCTGCCTTTGTGTTTTCTGCTTTTTTGGGGACACAGATG